GTGTGCTGTGATTGGTTAGCTGGGCCAGTGTGTGCTGTGATTGGTTAGCTGGGCCAGTGTGTGCTGTGATTGGCAGAACTCGGCGCCTGGTCGGGAAATGACACGCCCCTTACCATAGCCGCCTGCGAGCTTCAGTGTAAATATTGCGTCAAAATCAAATCAATTTGAGCACGATTTAAACCTGGATGATTGTAACCACTCTAAGTTCGTCTGCCTTGGGAAAGCTAGCGTGTCTCCGACATAGTGATAACACTCGTTGCCTTCTCTAGTGCAGCTCAACCAGGTCTCGTCCCATTCGTCGATATTTGCGATATCACAAATCCCGGAAAATATGCGTTGTAGTCCAAACGAGACGTTCGTTGTAGTTTTTGAAAAGTGATTTCTGTTAAATAAAATATCTCCTTTTGAAGTGGAGCTTTGTAACTTTGCAGATCTTTTTTATGCTCAAACAGCAACATTACATACTAACTAAAGCTGAAAAAGTGAAAAAGCATAATAGGACCCCTTTAAATGAAAATCATCATGACGAATCACATGACGAATCACACAGTTCACCTTGTTATTTCGGGAGTAGCTATAGAGCCACTTAATGATGGCTGCATAGTCCTGACATGGCATCTTAGCCATCAGCTTCCCAACAGCCTGTGCTCCACTGACTCGATATTCAGACTTCTCCACCATCTGAAACACACACACACACAGAGTGAGATGTGTGGAAAGAATTACAAAGAAAATATTTTTTTTTTTGTTTTTTTTTAGATATACAAATGAATCAAAGATGTGCAAAAAAAAAATCAAACCTTAAAAGACCCAAAAAAGTTAAAAAGGTGTTGCAAAACAAATCCATATTAATCAAGTGGTTTAAAGTCCTGTGAAGATGCGATTGCTGTATACGACAAATAGATTTTATTTAGGCTTTTAATAACATAAACGCACATACAAATCCAATCATACATGGTAATCACGGAAGCTTGTGTGTATGTCACATGCTAGAATATGTGTGAGTATCATATAAAGCAATCAATGCCTTCATAACCTTTTTGGATCTGTTAAGTTTTAGTTACCCGGACATCCAATGGAAGGACAGAAACCTCTCAGGTTTCATTAAAAATATAACAGAAGATTAACCAAAGTCTTATGGGTTTAGAACAACATGAAGTAAATGACGATAGAGCTATTATTTTTGGGTGACCTATCCAAAACAATTGTGGTTGTTCCAAATCTGTATGTTTTTCTGTAAAACTCAAAAGGAAAATGATATAGAATCTCCGCTCAGGTCTTTGATGTAATAATGTTTGGTCTCAAGATATTTGCTTTGAAAGCTGCATGAATGATTTGATAGTGAACAACATAAATCTCTGTCTGCAGCTTTAGAAAACATGGAATATAACACAGTTACATGAACTCCCTTTATAGTGCTGTTTTGTATTGGAGCTTAACAGTTGTGGTCACTCTTAAATGTCATATGCATGTAGATTCTTCAAAAATGTCCATGTTCCATGAAAAGAATAACCACAAACAGGTTTATAATGACGAGGGCTGAGAGTCAATAATGACATAACTGAAATTAAGCAATTAATTTTTAGTGGAATATTCTTTTAAAATAAAATATACCTGATGGCAGATGTGCTGTACAAGTATCCGTAAAAGCGGCAATGTGGCCTCCCTCTGCTTTTCAACAATATGACTAGAACACAGAACACACAAAATGCATATATTAACAACTCACGGAATCAATGCTGAACACACAGTAGGGGACAAAATAAATGTAGAGATTGCATGTAATTTTAAAAATAAAACATAAATATTCCTACATGGAAATATTACTGGAACCCTAGAAAGAAGGGAATAAGCCGTTATTAACCTGATGAAAAGGATGGCCTGGTCTCTGGCACCACAGACAGCCTGAGACGGAGCAAGAAGACACGGCTTGGACCTCTCTTGTGTTTTCATCATTAGAATAACATACAGTAGCTTGCGGAACACTCGTCGACGGCACTGTAAAATGCAACACCCACAATAATCAAGCAATGTAATTTAACGAATGTAACTAAAATGAGGAGGTCTTTCTGGAGTAAAACCACCCACCTCATCTCCTTCACCATGAATGGTTGAGCAAAGTAGCCCCAGTCCATGGTAGGACAGCTCAGGCAGACTCTGTATTTGGTCGACATTCCTTGAAAACAAACAAAAAATCCTCAGAAGGTTATAACGCTGGATATAAATTCTAAATTAAAGACTCTATATTGTTAACTAAAACTACACTAAAATAGTTTTTGTTAAAGGGTTAGTTCACCCAAAAATGAAAATTCTGTCATTAATGTTATGAAGCTACTAGAATACTTTTTGTACACTAAGAAAACAAAAAATAACTTAATTCAACAATTTCTTCTCTTCCCTGTCAGTCTTCGATGCGTGTTCATGAGAGTATGAGGACACATGCTACTGACGAAGATGCCGGCGTTCTGATGTAGAACACGCATGCGCTGCGCCTTGTTTGCAAGCAGAGGAATGCACACGCATGTGTCATGGTACTCTCATGAATGCAACACGGAAAAGAAAACGCAAAAGAAACTGTTGAATAAAGACGTTATTTTTGTTTTCTTAGTGTACAAAAAGTATTCTCGTAGCTTCATAACATTACGGTTGAACCACTGATGTCACATGGACTATTTTAACAAAGTCCTTACTAACTTTCTGGGCCTTGAACGTTACAATTGTATTGCTGTCTGTGCAGGGTCAGAAAGCTCTCAGATTTCATTAAAAATATCTTAATCTGTGTTCTGAAGATGAGCGAAGGTCTTACGGGTTTGGAACGACATGAGGGCGAGTAATTAATGACAGATTTTTCATTTTTGGGAGAACTATTCCTTTAATTAAAATAAAGCTGAATAAACTGTAAATAATGGATGAAGAATTTAAACTAGAAAAACAAAAGCTAATTAGAAACAGCCTTTGCAACAAACTGAAATGAAATAAGTTTAAGTTGTAGTCCTAAAATTGCAAAAACTAAAACTGAAATAAATGAAAGCTAAATAGATTTTTATTTTTTTTAAAGTGACAATCACATAACAAAACTACTAAAACAAAAATATACAAATTAAAGGCAATTCAAAATTAATACTATAATAGTATATAAATAATACTAAAAAAATTGTGCTGAAATGCATTTCCTCATCTTCCTAATTTTCTTTTACATTTACCTTTCCTGAGAGAATGACAGATTTCCAATGACTGGTTCAAAGTTGGTAAGTTGAGTGAAAAGCTGAAAGTAAATGAAAATATGAATATTTCAATATCTCAGTATTCTGTAAAAAATTATAGTAAAAATACAAATTTTTTTAAAGGCTTCAAATGTTATTATCAATGTGTGAAAGTATTCAACCATATTCAGATCTATACATCAACATTGCTTTATATGCTCTAAGAACCTGTTAACTAATGACCTAATACTCTCAAGATGGCAAAGGGGGTCAAATTGGCTTTTTAAATAAACAAACAAAAAAGAATAGCTGTACCTAAAATTACGTTAAGATTCATGCTAATCCCCAACACAACCACAAGTATCACACAAGCGCTGAGTGAAGTTGGCATGTGAAAGCATCATTTACTGACCTGAACACAGCTGTCAGCACTCTGAGGTTTGTCTCGAAGCGAAAATCTCTCTAGGAGCCTCAGAAGTGTGCGAACCAGCAAGACAATGCCCTCTCTTAGTTTCAGTAAATCCTGTGGAGAAAAGTACACCCCTTCTTCCTCATCATCTTCATCATCATCAATCTCCATCTGTTGGGAAACAAAATGCCAAAATACATGACACCACTGTCACATTGACAGACAGATTGGAATTCTTTCAACAATGTGTCAGTGTAGGAAAAAAACACTTTTTAAGATGATGAGTGTAAAAGTTACATATACAAAAAAGCAAAAGCAAAATTCTATACCTCTTCTGACACTTTCTTTGGGGGTTTGGATCGTTTGCCTGTTTTGGGGTCACCTTGAGAGCTTTTCAAAGTATCTTTCTTGCGTTTCTTACCAGAGTCTTGAGGCCAGCATTTCAGGGGCATGTTCAGACAGGTATCAAAAAGAATCTGATGATACACTTTATTCGCAACACTCCCTGAAGATGTACAAAAACATTAAATAAATTCATGCAGGCATAACAACCGGAAATCAGTGCCATGCCATGCATTAGGAAGGACTTCAGCACTGCAGCCAGATGCAAGGGATAGAAACTATGAAGGTAAAATAGTAGCAAAACTCGAGAGCTTGTTGATTTGAAGGTGAGATCTTGTCAGAAGAATCTTGTCATATTTGTCAGTTTAAATTTACACTCACAGATCTGATGTGAAAAGCTGAATCTTTTGATTTGCACACACAATTTTCAAAACACCCGTGTTTTGAATTCAAACTTGCAGATTAATCTGCAACTTTAATAACTTTGAATTTAAAACACAGGCGTTTTGATTGTTGTCTGTGTGTGCAACTCGAAAGATTCAACTTTTCAGAGTGTACATTTCTTACAAATACGAATATTAATATGACAAGTTCTCACCATCAAATCAAGCTCTCGAGTTTTGCTACTATTTTACCTTAATAGGAATCTGACCTGGAATTTTTAGCAGCAACAAGTATAGAGAGGCTGCCTGTAGACCACATAGTCTCTGTTCAAGACTGGGACTTTTGGCTTTAGCACTAAGGATGAAATAGGACAGGACAGCCACCAATGGTTTTGCAGAGACACCATTCTCACCAAACACCAGCCAGACACTCTGCAGGAAAAAAAAAGCAAGGTACATTTACACTGCATCACAAAGATCTGCTATTTTGTGGGGTGAAGCAGAAAGAAATCACAGCATCATCACATGATGGCATACCTGTGTATTGTCATCATCCTTATTGGAGAAGGGCAGAAGCTGCTTGTAAATCGTTTTGAAAACATCAGGGTCTTCCTTTATCTCCTCCTCGATAACAGGGTCAAGAGGGTCTGTGTGGGTGAATTCAAAATCCCACACTGCATCCACCCAGGCTGAAACATGTCAACAAAATAAGTACACTCTGGCTAATAATGCCCCAAAATGCTGCAGGTAGCTCATTTAGCTGAGACACAGACAGTGATTACGCGAAGTACACTATTTAGTGATATAGTCACCCTGACTGTTTTCGATCTTTTTATAAACACTGTGACCGTTTGAACGGGTAGTTAAAATACCTAGGTCCTCTTTTTCTGCTATGGTAAAACAAAAAAGTTTTGCGTCAAAACCTCACATATAGCAAACCATGAACCGAAATCAAAACAATCCCCCGGAATGACAGACAGCGCTCAAGATATTTTGAGGTTTAATACAACAGTACACAAACTGAATCTCAAAATTCATTTAGCAGTTGTTTCTAGGACATGCTCGTGACAAATATGAAATCATACCTGAAGACACACTGTTTAATTTTAATAACTGCAGCGCACGTATCAACTCCATACTTCGTTCAAAATAACGCGCCAAATAGCCGCACTATTCCCGGCATGCCACCGGGTTAAGGCTAGAAGGGATACGTATGGCGCTACTGGGCATGCGCACATCAATACAGCGTAATTTTTGTCACACTGTACAACAATAATTACTATTTTTTCATTCTTGTAAGGGGTCGGTTTAGGGTTGGGGTTGGTGTAGACGTTAATAAAACACAATCTAATAGGTATAAAATTAAATTTATTGTTAGCTTCCGGTCGGAGCTGTATCCCTTTTTTTTACATTTTTTTTTAATTGATTTTCAACATATAATATAAAGGTATTGAACAAATATAAACTACAACAAAGAAATAGAAAAAATAAAATATAATTTAAATAATAGTACAGGTAAAATAAAATAAAATAAAATAAAATAAAAAATGCTGTATGCCTTCTAGCCACAACCCATGCACGGCAACATACGCAGAACGCAAGAGATGCGCTCATGAATATTAATTAGGTATTGACTCTTTTTTTTTCTCGTTTGTATTAAACCTTCCATAATAACAGTACAATGACGTTCATAAATAGTGTTAATATCTAAAAATAAAACATACATACAATTAGACATAAAGACAAAATAACGTAAAATAATGACGAGAGTGTCGAATTATTAATATTCATGAGCCAAAGCAGTTCCGCTTCGCGCTCGGTTCCAGCGCATGCGCAACGCTTCATTCCTATGACGCGCAGTTACGCGCGTTCCTCAAAAACGGAAATGCTTCAGACTGTAAATATAAAAAAACAAAATAACAAAGGACTATAAAGGAAGAATACAAATAAGCGACCAAACCAGGTGCACTATTTTCTTAAATGTACTTTTTTATACGGGGGGAGAATATAAAAATAACATATTATACATTGTATAAGTTTTATAACCTGCTGTTATAAAACTAAAACTGCTAATTTTATATCTACTGTCTGCCGGTTGCATAAACTGCTTAGAGTAGTCTTAAAAAGTTAGCCATCTAATTAGCTTTCTTCTAGATTGGTCATATCTGTTTAAAGTCATTGACAAAAATGTAGATTGGCCCAATTTTAATCAGAAAAGTGAGACTAATTGCTAGTCAGTCAAACTAGTCCTTAAGACACAGTCTTAACATAGTGGCTATGTTTATGCAACTGGCCCAGAAACACGTACACACACACACTCACTCCCTCACTCGCACTCACTCACTCACTCACTCACTCTCACTCACTCTCACTCACTCTCACTCACTCTCACTCACTCTCACTCACTCTCACTCACTCTCACTCACTCTCACTCACTCTCACTCACTCTCACTCACTCTCACTCACTCTCACTCACTCTCACTCACTCTCACTCACTCTCACTCACTCTCACTCACTCTCACTCACTCTCACTCACTCTCACTCACTCTCACTCACTCTCACTCACTCTCACTCACTCTCACTCACTCTCACTCACTCTCACTCACTCTCACTCACTCTCACTCACTCTCACTCACTCTCACTCACTCTCACTCACTCTCACTCACTCTCACTCACTCTCACTCACTCTCACTCACTCTCACTCACTCTCACTCACTCTCACTCACTCTCACTCACTCTCACTCACTCACTCACTCACACACACACACACACACTCACACTCACACTCACTCTCACTCACACACACTCACTCTCACTCACACACACTCACTCTCACTCACTCTCACTCACTCTCACTCACACACTCACTCTCACTCACACTCTCACTCTCACTC